TGTGCTGTTGACTATTAATTGATTATTTTTCCATCTGTAGAAAGAAAGCAAAGCTAAATTGACAACAACACAGTATCTTTATAACCCTTAGGCATAATCTTGTATATATTGACATTAAATACCACAATTTGAATTACAAAATGACCCAGCAGCAGAAGGCACTGAGCGTATCAGAACTGTTAGGTAAGTATTTTATAATTACATTTTATATCTCCTATTGCTAGTTCAGATAAGGCTGAATAATATGTAATTAACTTTATGGTACTTATTTTATTTCAATTTGCTTATAATTAACTCTAATATAAAATAGGTGAAAATATAAGGATGATTGAAATGTATAAAATCCACAGGCTTATTGTGAACAAGTTTTATCATGTTTTGGTTTCACTGACATCAAATATATTTACAGGACTGAGGAGCCAATATTATATCTCCGTGTTAGATACCATGTCAATACTGAGAAAATGGTCAGCTGGCATGCATTTTCGTTCTGAATTATAAATTTAACACAATATATTCTGTGCACATGAGATCAAGTTGTTAATATATAGTATTTAATTATATTGACTCCAATATAAGTTATTTCTGATTAAATAAGGATAGAATTGCACTTAAAAACACTAGACTGATAAATTTGTTGCTTTTGTTGCAGCTGATATTGGTGGTCAACTGGGCTTATTTTGTGGAGCCAGTATGATTACCATCATTGAAATTGTCGAATATGTGTTCACCAACTTCTATTGGATGTGTATTTTTCTTCTACTAAAAGCACCAAAACTGCCTGATTGGAACACTTCAAATCAGAATGAAGAAATACACAAAAGAAGAGTACAAGAATGCTAATATCTTGCATAAAACAAATCAAAAGGGGTGAAGACACCCCTAGTCCTTTCTGTGTATACAGGACACTTATTTTTAACATCTATCTTTGTTACTAAAGAAAAGATAGCCTTAGTATTGTTACTCATTTTTTATCAGGATAGTAGAAAGTCCACTTTATGCATCTATCTGGACAGAGTAAGTAATAGTTACCTATGTTTTGTTAGCTTATTAACATTATACTTTGAAAATAGCCCAGAAATTTCAGCTGTTGTGAAACAGCAGCCAGTAAAAATGGTGGTCATTGCAATCCCATTATGGCTTGAGTTTGTTACTAAAGGGATTTTCCACAAACTTGCATTATAACGTTTTCAACAACAAGTGAAAGGTTTGGACATGATTGAATGATTTATGATCTGTCTGTGGTCTTAATGTTGCTTTATTGATACGTTGTATTCAGTGGTGGGATTTAAATAATTTAATAACCTGTTCTCTGCCCTAATGTCCGGCTGGGTGGGCATGGCTGGGTGGGCGTAGCCAGGGGGCGTGACAGCACTCAGCCTCCTGCAGCATTCTGCCAGCAAAAATGGGGCACAGGAGGTTAATTACAAAATGTGGGCTTTGTTTTGGGCCATCCAGATCCAGCAAGCAAGGGGTGTGAACTGCACAGAAAATTCACTTTTGTTTGGTTACGAAGAAATATCCCCAAAGTCAGATGTACACCAGGGGTGAAATTCAAATTTTTTCCCCCTGCTGACTCTGTGTGCATGGCTTGGTATAATAGTAATAGCAACCAGAGGTGATTGGGGCAATGTTTTACTTATTCAAATTATCCCTACCACCTCTCCCAAGGTGGGCCAAGGTGGTTGAATTCACCCCTGATGTACACTGAATGTAGACTGATTTTTAGCTACACATCTTCCCAACAAACAGCAAATTTTGAAGGTGCAGGTAAAGAGGATTCATTTTGGGACGAGTAACCACAGATTGCATGCTGGGAAACTCTGTATTTTAAAGAACAATTGAGGGAGGGGTGCAGAATAGCCCTCCTCTGCCTGAGGCTGTAGAGACCTGGCACCAATCAAAACACTGTACGTGAAGCAACTGATCAATACTGACAGGGCAAGCCACTAGTATATGAAAATAAGAGCAAACTCCACTCCCTTCTGGTATTTATGATATTACCTAGTTTGGTAATGAAACATCTGCAAGAAAACCATCAAGCTCAGAGAGCACCACAGTTCAAGCCTGAGCTACAAATATTCTATCAATAAACACTTTTTGGTTACAGCAAGGGTGTCAAACTGGATTTTTTCAAGGGCCAGATCAGCATTGTAGTTCTCCTCCATGGGCCATGGGGGGAAGAGAAAAGACGGATGCCTCCAGCAGCACCCTGCCGGCCAAATCAGGATGGGGGGGTCTGCGCGTAGTACCCCGTGCCACATTTTCAGCCTCCATGGCTTCCTGTGGGCCTCGGCTGGCCAAAAATGGGCCTCACAGAGGCTTCACAAGGCCCCCAAGTGGCTTGTTTTTGGCCAACAAAGTGCTGCTGAAGGCCAGGGAGGCCGAAACAGGCTGTGTGGGGTCTTCATCAGGCCATTTTTGGCTGACAGAGGCACTACAGGCCGATTCTTTGATATTTCCAGACCGGCCCCATATGCCAGTTTTAAGCACTCAAGTGAGCCGGATCTGGGCCGCAGGTCCTGAGTTTGACCCACTTGGGTTAGAGGGACACAGCCTGTCTTTTATGAGATAGTTCCCAGTGAATTTCATTCTAAATTTTGTTATGATTTCTTTGGTACAGATATAAGTAAAAAATATATCAAATTCTTACTCTAAGATTAACATTTGTCTACATTATTTCCATAATCCCATATCTAATCATCAAAGCCCAGGTCAACTTCTAATTTCAGTTCCTCACAAAAAGTCCAGTAATGGTTCCTATCACTTTAATCACTATTTGTTAAGGAAACCACAACTGATTTATTTAATTGCAGCAAACTCTAAATAAAACAGGAATGGAAAATCATAAGCTCTAGTCTAGATCCATGCTCCTCAACTATGCAACTTTAAGGTGAATGGACTTCAATTCCCAGAATTCCCCAGGCGGCATGAAGTTCGCCCATCTTAAACTTGCCAAGACTGAAAAACACTGATCTACAGATAGGGATTTTTCCATTCCTCTTTTACTGGTTCTTATGAGCAATCGTAATGCAAAATCCTCACTTCCATCCCGTTCCAGAGCAACCACCATTCCCTCACTAACCTGATTTCCAGCTCCATTCTCCTGTGTGCAGGGCAACAGAAGAAGACCATGTGACTACCAGTTTAAAAAAGATCAGTTAGACCTTCCTTTCTTGGGGGGAAAAAGATCTCACAAAGTTGAAAGGTCTGACTGAACTTTTTTTAACTGATAGTCACATGATCTTTTTTATTTTTGCCCTGCATACAGGAGAACAGAGCTGGAAAGCAGGTTAGTGAGGAAATGGTGGTTGATGCAGGATTTTGTACGCTGCCATCCAGGCCAAAAATGGGCCACAGGGGGCAGCCTCCCAGCTGATCAGCATGGCCGGTCCATTTTCCGCCTACCAGCTGATCAGTGCGGTTCCCAGTCACGCCCCTGCAGCCTCCCCACCCTGAATGGAGACCCCGGTGGACGGGGTGGGGCCAGCCAGTGGTGGGATCAACCGGTTTGCCGAACTACGCAAAAATTTAACAACTGGTTCAGTCGAACTGTTGCAAACTGGCTGAATCCCACCATTGGCTCAGAGGTGGTATTCAGCAGGTTCTGACCAGTTCTGGAGAACCGATAGCGAAAATTTTGAGTAGTTCAGAGAACTGGCAAATAACACCTGACTGGCCCCACCCCCATCTATTCTCTGCCTCCCAAGTCCCAGCTGATCGTCTGGGTCTTCTTTTGTTGCCCTGCACAGGAAAACAGAGCTGGAAAGCAGATTAGTGGGATGGGGAGGAATGGGATTTTGCAGCATCCTTTCCCCTGGAGCAGGGTGGGAATGGAGATTTTATAGTATCCTTCCCCTGCCACACCCACCAAGCCACACCCACCATGCCAAGCAAGCCACGCCCACCAAGCTATGCCCACAGAACCAGTAGTAAAAAAAATTGAATCCCACCACTGCATTGGTTGTATTACTTTTTAGCTTCAAGTGATAACTTTTATTACTGCATAGTTATATTGTTTGTTTTTTTCCTTATCTTTCTCTATCTTAAGTATTTAATTCATATTTTTTTAATAGCATTGCAAAACATAAGTCCTTAAACAGATTATTGAATAGTGATTAGACAAAATGTGGTTAATGTACAGTTAGTGTACAGTTAAGCATGTCAAGTGAATCTAATAAAATTTAAGAAAAGGATCAAGTAAACTTTGATTAACCCTGATTAAGTAGATCATGTACATACAACCACTTTTGTGAGTTTGCATAATAATCTGTGACTGTCAGATTGTAACACTTCTATCTAACAATTTTTGGGGGGCCTGGAACATGTAGATTAAATTTGGTTCATTTCCATATATTAATTTCTTTATATTTTTTTTGAAACAAGAAAATGTATATTTATATATTAGGTACAACTTTTCCTGAAATAATGCATTTTGTATTCACTCTGAAATGAATTTCTTTTAATACATTTGTTTTCTAAACAATTAATTACTACAAATGTATGCACTTTTGCACTCATCTCCACGTTTCTTTATGTTGTTGCACATAATAACATTGGTAACCAGGTTTTTTGTTAAGCATTATTTAATATATATGGTAGGTACTCTTGATGCACATTTTCGCAGATTAGAAGAGATAAATATGCCGCTAAAATGGAGTAGATTTAAGCATCTCTAATTACAGTCTATTGCCGGCAGATGTCCTACTCATCTTTCTCTTTTAATTCCTTTTTTTTTTTAAAGCATGACAAAATGTAGAACTGACTTTTATTGTTTTATAGAATCAATGAGATGGGGAAATTAATTCTGCTAATTCCACTAGAACAGCTAATAGACGTAGTTCTTGTTTGACATTGATATAAACTGATGGTGCATTTGTATTGAAATACTTTCTGATTTTGTGATTTTGTGAAGCAAAACTGTGCCTCCTTTCTTACTAGCAGAGAAGTCAAATGGTTGCATTTTGAGACAAACTGGCTCTTCCTTGACTTTTGATAAGCCATAAATTGAGTGTTAGCAGATTTAGGACAAGAAAAGAAATTATACTTTATTGTGGAAAGGTTTTATATGAAAATAATTCTGTCTCTTGGTCACTTTGCAAACTGGAGTGCTTAGAAACTGGTTTTTGAAGGCAAGCCAGTGGCCACTACTTTAGGTGAGTTAAAAGAATGTATACAAATTCAGGAAAAAAAGGCAGGATCATAATATCTCAAAGGAAACATAACTGAGACAATGTGTTTCTAATATTATGAAACAAATGAGAAAAACCAATTATCTTTTTACAAGTTTCTCAAAAGCAGCTAACTGGTCATTGTGGAAATAAGAAATTGAAACAGATGGAATGCAAATCTCATCTAGCATGGGTGTTGGTGTGTTTAATACTGAATACTGTTAATTTATCTTAAAATATTTTTGTAATTATGAATATATATTTAAGCCAACTAGCACATATCATAGCTTTTAAGTGCTAATTTTTTTTGTCCAAGATAATTACTGTATCTTGTTAAATTGTAATACAACCTATAGAAATGTGTTTACCACTTTAGTTTAATAAAGTAAAACTAAAATCATCGAGATATGGCAGAAATTTTTTAGAAACTTACACATAGTGTAGAAAAATGAAGATATTACTTCTATCCATTCTTACTGGATATTTACTGGAAAGGGTTCTACCCTGAAGCAGAGAGAGATGTTTGCTCCTCCCACTTGCAGATACTGATGAAGCAACATCAGTATCTGATGCTTGGCATTTTTCCCAACTCTGAGAATTGCCAAGCATCTGGAGAGAAGATTGATATAAACAACAGCAGAATTGTTAAGAATCGTAATCTCTATTTTTTTATACAAGGGTCTACAAACAATCTAGTCAAGTTAGTAATGGTGTGAGAACATGTCAGC